AGAAAATTTTATATTAGGAAAATAAGCTTATCAATTCCAGTAGCTGTTATCACTCTTTCCAGTATTAATTTCCTTCCTAACTTATTTGAAGTAGCGTGGAATGTCAATACCTTCATTATGTCATTATTTTCTTTTCGTTTTACATGTGCTATCCATTTTAGTTTTTGCTACTGTTGATAATCTTCAACTGGTGTAGTTTCTGTTATTTGGTACAGCTTTTTGTTTGTGCATCACAAACAAAAAACCAGTCAAGTCTACCATATTCAAAGAATAATGATCTTTGCCAACATCTTGAGACTTCACTGGCTCAAAGCCATTTTAACAATTGATCTTAAAAGGCAAACAGCTGATAGTTTAGATATTTTTGAACGGCGCCATGCTTGATATAGAAATCTCGATCTAACGAGGCTATTTAAGAATCTGTCTTGAATTTTCAGGTTGATGTTTTGGTTTCGTGGTAACTTGCGTTATTGAGTGAAACTAACTCTGGCGCCTGCCTATTCTACATATGTTCAGTTTCTTTTTATCCTATAGTAATTTTTTTTTATAACTGATCCATACACTGAGGTAGTTTTTATCAAGCTGTTTCATTACGTCATTATTGGACTCAATTTCCATTGGGTAACCAAAAAGTTTATTTGATCCAAAAATCTCTAGATAATTACTAAGCTTAGCATTGTGCGCCAATCTTTCATGTGGGGAGAGTCTGTCTGCTGAGAAAATCAGTTCTTAACATATACATTTCTAATATCGATGGAATATACGTCCCTATTTGTAAGGGTCAGGCCATGAGCGCAACAAGTATTTAAAAACAGCTACGGTTAACGTCTTAGCCTCACGAGCTCGTCTCATCACTGGCTTCGTGTCAGATTCGCGCTTTGTTCGAACGGATAGGAAACAATATCTGTTTTAACAATTTCTGCTTTCAGACGAAACGTAACGGAATACTTTCATCACAAATGCCAAGAAACGCTTTTGAAGCCTTCTTAATCATTAGATTGAAGAGGAATGTTATTAACATATATCATGCGTGCTCTGTAGACTCTTCTGAGACAAGTTATCGTTCCATATTTACAACGACTTCATTGAAATTATATTACACAGACACACACACACACACACTCACACACACACTCACACACACCACACACACACATACACACACACACACATATATATATATATATATATGTATAATCTCTGTGAATTTTAGGTGAGTCATTCTTAGCTGATTGATTAATACACAAAACACATATATATACTTATACTGTTCTATGTTGGATACAAGCAGCTTTTTAAATATCTTTGCGATCTTTTTAACCCTCGACTGCTTCAATCGCCGGGTGAAGAGGTCCTGAGGACAGAAGAAACTGACTTCAATTCTTCTTCAGGATCCTTTCATCGGATTTTCGAGATAATTTGTCGGCTCCCATCTCCTCTTCAAGCTCTTTACCGGCAGTCTACTGAGTACAGTGTGGGTCACCCTCGGTCGGTAAACTTTTTTTTTTTTAAATATTCTTAACGATTTTTTTGTAACCTTCGACTCGATCACAGAAGAAACATACATTCATCCTTTTTCCTCAGGATCCTTTCATCGGGTTTTCAGATAACTTGTCGGCGCCCATCTCCTCTTCAAGCTCTTGACTGACAGTCGACGGAGTATAGTGTGGGTCAACATCGGTTCGTACACTTTTAAAAAAAAAATTCTTAACGCTTTTTTTGTAACGTTCGAGCCGAGTACAGAAGAAATAGACGTTGATCCTTCTTCCTCAGGATGCTTTCATCGGGCTTTTCAGATAACTTGGCAGCGCCCATCTCCTTTCCATGCTCTTGACCGACATCCGAAGTCGACGGAATATAGTGTGGGTCGCCATCGATCCGTAATTCAAAGTTGTCCTTCGCCTATAGCGGTTGCCATCCGAGGCTATCAGACCCATTTTGTCCTGCCATTTACCCATAGCTGGTGGGAGAAAAGATGAATTCATACCTATGCCAAGGCTATTAGCACGTAAGTGAGTGAACTTCACTTGGATTTGAATTCGGCTCTCCGATTCCTCAATCTGAACCGCTATCCATTACTCTACCGTTAGCGCTTACAAAACTTTAATAACACGTTTTTGTGCTTTTTATTTTTCGATCCAAAGACATTCCATGGATAATATTATCGCTAATTAAACATGGATAACAGTAGAATAGTGTTACGTTTCATTACGAATTCGATAAAAGCTCTGAAAACTCAAATTGGTTTAAAATCTGGATTAGTTAAATCGTATTAGGTCGTTTAATTTAACTACGGCTTGCTTACTTGTCGAATATAAGGCTTATAGTTTCTATCCGAATTTCTAAGGTGAGGAATTATTATTTACATTATACTATGCGGTCTATTGTCATCATCTTTGGGCTTCCTGTAGGTTACCCAGATCGTTAACTGGCTAATTTTATCCTGTGTAGATTTTTGTGCCATCCGACCAATGTTGGGAGATACTTTTGAGGAGAATATAGTATAAAATGTATTCATACCATAGAATAGTAAACAGACAAGTTGTTCTTGTTTATAAGTAACGTATTTACAGTGTAACCCGGATATAAGAGACCCGGATATAAGAGACCCGGATATAAGAGAAACCCGGGTATAAGAGAGATTTTCTCTGGTCCCAAATTAGAGCCCATACTTACCGAAACAAAATAGACCAAACCCGGATATAAGAGAAAACTCGGATATAAGAGACTTCTTCTCCGGTCCCGACAACTCTCTTATATCCGGGTTACACTGTATAACGTAATTCAATAAAAGTTTGCAAATTTAATGTGATGGATATTTTTTTTAATAAGTAAACCATTTCTGGCGACAGTTTCAGTATAACACACACATATTCAACTGACAGTCTTGCATGAAATTTGGTTTTGAACATACATATTGCTGGAAAACCTTTCTCATAACTGTAAGTAAATGGGAACAGCAAAAGACTTTCTGCGCATTTTTTTTTTAGAAACAGATGGGTAAAATTTCAGCGTGAAACAGCAACACATTGGCAGGAGAGAGACTTTAAAAACATCTAAGCCATTGAAACAAATGCTCATTTGGAATTGTATGAAAGTTAACAGAATAATTCTAAAGGTACTCCGAATGAGTTGCAATCAAAGAGAAAATACAGAAAGTAAACTGTTTCTTTCGATAGGAAAAAAAAAAGACGAAGTGTTGATAGAGGCGAAAGACTTGATCTGAAAAATCCTGAATTTCTCTCGCGTACCCACTTGCGTATGCACATTATAGTTTGTGAACCCTGAACTCATCTAAGTGCATAATTTGTGTTTCAAGATTTAAAAACTAATTCTAATTTAGCTAATTCTCTTAAGTCAATTTAGCTAATTCTCTTAAGTTATCAAAACCTGTAGAAGTAAGAAGAGAAATAAAACCACTCTTGCACCTACAAAATCTGTATTAATTTTATCTAATAGACTTAGTTTTCAGTTATTACTTTCGTATAATCAAAACTTTGATTATAGTCAGATTGTTTTTATTATTTTCGGTTGTAACGGGTGATGTCCGAATTCTTTTTAATAATTATGAAAACTCTTTATGGCGATTTTTTTTATGTTAGTGTAATATGATATAAATGGCTAACTTTTTTGTACTTTATTTTAAAACCCTCCAGGTGTCTGCCTTTTTTGTACTTAATTTTAAAACCCGACCGATACATTCTGAATTGATTTTTTTACTTCATTTTTTAATGAAAATGGTAGTAGGGATTGATGAATTTTTATCCCGAATCATTTTTTTTCATAGATGCAAACCTTTTTTTAATGTATATCCCCAATAATATAAAGAGAGAATGAATAACACGCAAAAGACAAAGGTTCAATGTGAGATATGAATAAACAATATAACATACGCTTGATTATACGACTTCTTTGCACGTTGGATCTAAGTACGATGCAATATAATGCAAATATTATCTTCGTTGAAGTAGATATAAAAATTTCACTGTAAAAATTTAAATAATAATATAATACTATTAAAAACCAAATCTACAATAAGCATCAAATAATTTTTTTAATCATTTCACCCCAAACAAGGCGATAATGTCACTAGGAAGCAAGGAAGGGAATGAAATAGAAAACTTTAGTGAAAAGTGAGAAAAAGGACAATAAAAGAACGTGTTCAGGAAAACAGAAGATAGCGATTGACATTGCATTTAAATTTTTGAAGATTGCAGACGACAAAGAAGCAATAACTTGGAAAGGAGTTCCCCAGGTGAGAAGTGCGAGAAAAGAAACTGTTAGAATAGAACATATGGTTACATCTAGTTAGATTACCGGTAAAACTGCGATAACTCATTGTCAATCTAGTAGCACGTTTAAATTCATGCATTTGCTTCATAAGGAAACACAGCTCATCAGAGCAATTACTATGAAAATATTTATAGAAAAGACAGAGGGAAGTAACGTTTAAGTGACTGAAGCCAAGATGCCAGGTTAACATCATTTACATTACAAACCCTTCTTTGAATTTTGTCAAGAATCGCAAGATATATAGTAGGATCACCAGACCAGATATGGCAGCAGTATTCAGTGCACGGACGAATGATAAATTTATAAATGTGCAAGATGGATTCTGACAAAAAGAATTGTCTGGCAGGACACAGTGAACCAAATTTACTAGCAGTAAACTTGTAAAAAGGCGAGAAAAATATTTTGTAATTCATTTTCTTCACTGCTACGTCACTTCCTGTTGTTAGCTTACATAAATGGCCGCCTTATTTGGTTAGTTCTGTTGCAACCAAATTCAAATTCAAAACCTTAACCCGAGAAAAAAAAAGCATGACTATACGATATTTAACTCTTTCCTTTTGATATTTTCATTATTTTTTTTATTCACGTTTCATTATTTTGTTATTCTCCCAACGTCACTACGCTCTAGCATTTCTTAAAATTATATATGTGCGTATGTATATATGTATATTTTCTATTAAATACATTTCACCTTATGTGATTTTTATATGCGTACAAATGAATGTTTATTTTCAGAGAGAGCATATGTGAGCGTGTCACTCAACGTAGCTCTCTGTGTGCGTATGTCTGCACAAGTATGCACGCATTTTCTTATCGGCCTTTCACTTCTTTATGATAATGTTGTTTTTATGCTTTCTTTCTACAAGAATCAACTAATGGAGCCAAACCGTATTTTGTTTTTACTTTTAAAGGCTACCAGCAACGTATAAATAATTAAAAAGTATTGTTTTTTTTTATTTTCATTTGTGATTTTTCTATTTCTTCTCAATATAATCTAAATTCACAATCTTCTTAAAAATCTGGCAGCGGCATGTAACCGACTTGAAAAAAAAAAAAAAAATAAAAGGTACAAATTGAAAAGTTAAATATATAGCTTAAACATCCCCCCCCAAGCTACTCGTCTTTTGAAAAAAAAAAGCGTTGAGATAAAAAGACGAAAGCTTATGTCCAGTAAACCTTTGAAACCTTTTGGGATTTTTTATCCTTCACATGCAACTGATATATATATATATATATATATATATATATATATATATATATATATATATATATATATATATACTAGCCGAATTACTAGCGCCTAGCTGCGTGCCATATATACAAGATGATGATGGTTGATGTTAAATCATTGTTATAATTTGTTGAGAAAGATGAAGCATTTCAATGTTACTCAATGACCTTGTCGATGTGACCTCCATCTTCTGACTTTCTCCTTCTATATTTTCGTTAGGAGTCATTCAAATTTAAATTTAATGGAGGAAGTTATTCCCCCCTGGACCCCCTTTGATCAAAATGAAATATACTTGTCCAAGTACCGTGAGTAATGTAGTTTCACAATATATGTGTTTATGGGGGGGGGTCTATCGCCAAAACCCAAGGAGGAGTTCGATAACAAACATACAGGAAGACAGAAGTTTCGGCCGTTGTAAATTAGAACCGAATCCTTTATTTAGTCCGCGAGGATATATTGTTCTAGTTCCACGTGCCATGCCATTTTGGGATTTCTCAGTACCAGTTAATTCGCTTTAGTAACCCAACTCTTCAAGTTTTTGTTCCTTCTACTGTTTTTAGGTATTGAACCCACAACTCGTGAATATGACAACAAAGTCCAAAGGATATATATATATATATATATATATATATATATATATATATATATATATATATATATATATATATATATTATGAAATGGACAAAGTCCGACAATTATTTTAAGACATTTTTATGTTTATACATTCTTTTTATCGATACAAATATTTAAGTAAATGCCTTGTTTTATAATAAACAGTATTAATAACATTTACCGGCCTGAATGTCCGAGAAATTTTCATAGAATATATTCGTCCTCCGACAGGAATCGAACCTGTATCTTATATGGAACCGTCATATAGCCTGACGTGCCTTAACCGATCGAGCCACGGAGGATCGTTCGATTAGAAAGGTCGATTTTACTGCTTTTAAACTTCAATATTCCATGATTCTCTGACGTACATTCATATCTGCTCAAAGCTTATCCAAATGTAAACAAATGACGTTACACATTATGAAATAGACAATTATTTAAAGACATTTTTATGTTTATACATTCTATTTATAGATACAAATATTTAAGTAAATGGTCTGTTTTATAATAAACATTATTGATAACAGGCTATATGACGGTTCCGTATAGGATACAGCTTCGATTCCTGTCGCAGGACGAATATTTTCTCTGAACATTTCTCGGACATTCAGGTCAGTAAACGTTATTAACACTGTTTATTATAAAACAGAGCATTTACTTAAATATTTGTAGTATCTATAAAAATAAATGCATAAACATAAAATATCTTTATATATATATATATATATATATATATATATATATATATATTAAGGTATGCTATATTTATGAGTTAAAGTATTCAATATCAGGGATATAAATATATATAAAATTGGATCCTGTCAAGGATCAAAATAGATCTAGCAGCTTTTAACTTTTAGTACAGCTTTGGCAGACATGTACTAAGTGTAATGGTTATCGGGGCGTGGGAAATGGGGTTCCCCAAAGCTCTCACACCCACTTAATCTTTAGTTTATAGTGTTTTTTTTCTATCTATCTATCTATCTATCTATCTATCTATCTATCTATCTATCTATCATGTTGTTAATTTCTTAACGGACTCCGGCATGGTGCGTATTTCAAATTTGAAATTATAACGTCTACAGTAGCGTTTGTTTTGTGGAGTATAAATATGATATCTGGCAATAACTCAATAGAGTTATCGGAACATCTGACCTTGATGAACGACGTTACTCAAAACTCAGGAGTCGGCCAGTGCGATAAGTCCATTCAACATTTATTGTTTATATATATATATATATATATATATATATAGGTACACACAGTGTCCGCCAAAAATGCATACACACTTCAGGAAAGGAAAAACTTGTATAGATATTTTAATACAAAATTTATTCAGACATCATAAGATTAATTAACTTCCAGGCATTTACTGCGAACTACTCCTTGAACAACTTTGGTCAAAGTGTCCAGTGGGATTGCTGCACCTGCATTTTTCATTTTTTATCAAAAGTCCGCCAATGTAACGCCGTCTGTCGAGAAAATATCGGACTAATGCAGTGTTATCACAATTTGATAAAACTACGAAAGACAAGTTATTCTTTGTCCAGTAGCCCACGGAACCGTTGATTACACTTGCGTCAGTATTGCCTCCGATTCCCCGCTTTAGTGTAATGAGGGTGTAATGCCTCAGGCAGCTTTTTCCCTGGGACCGAGCACCTCTCATTATTTTCTCAGTTGACCTCTATTCGATTTGCTCGTATCACTAGCACCGAATTGTAGCTCCTTTCCTTCAAGTAACTCTCGGGCGTAGTCCATTCGATTTGCTTAGAGACACCTAACAGCAGTCTAAGGATTAGTGAAAGAAAAAAAACATGAATACTGTATATTCCGGACTATAACACGCGACTTTTGTCTCGAAATATGTAGGGTGCGGGTTATATAACGATGCGGGTTATAAATTGATTTTCTAAGAGTAGCTTAGATGTGGCACAAGGTCGAAAGTATGGGACATATGAGTATCGAATTCACTATTCAGTCGTAATTGTTTTAGCGAGACAAGCTTGCTAACCATTACACCACGCCGAGATGCCCTAGTTATTTTCCAAGCGTAGCTTAAATGTGGCACAAGGCCGAAAATATGGGGTATCCAGTGAGGATCGAACTCACTACTCAGTCGTAATTGTTCCAGCGAGACAAGCTTGCTAACCATTACACCGGCTCGAGGTGCCCTACGGTGCGGGTTATATAGGAAATGTGTCTTTAAACCTCGAGTGGACGGGGTTAGGGTTAGGCGAACATAGCTTCACAAAAACCGGTCACCAACGTCGAACCAGTTATGTCCAGATAATTGAATTTATAGGAGTGCGGGTTATATACGGGTGCGGACTATAGTGCGGAAAATACGGTATATATATATATATATATATATATATATATATATATATATATATATATATATATAATTGAATGGATATGAATATTTTCCACATTCTTCTAATATAGAGTTTACAGTTTGCATATATATATATATATATATATATAGTTTGTTATATATATATATATATATATATATATATATATATATATATATATATAGTTTGCATATATATATATATACAAAATTAATAGTGATATTTAGCTATCCCCCACAAGGGTTACATGTGGCACAAGGCCGGGTTTAACGTGGGATCTCCGAGCCCGTAGGCTCAGCCAAAAATTTTCTCTCTTTGAACCCGCATAAACGGGTTCAGTGGCAGTCAACCACCCCGAACGAGACTTCGGCGGAGCCTCGTCCGTGTTCCTCTCCGCCCGAAACTGAATGAGGCCTTTCGTACCGACAAGGAAATTCCCCAGCCGAATGGAGGTTTTTTATCTATGGACTCAGTCTTAGAACCAGTTATGTCAAGATAGTTGAATTTATAAAAGTGCGGGTTATATACAGGTGAGGACTATAGTGCGAAAAATACGGTACTTATATACTTAACATATAGTGATTTTGTAAGCATAGCTTAGATTTGGCACAAGGTCGAAGATGTGGGGTACTCAATGAGGATCAAAATTGATCTAGCAAGACAAGCTTACTAACCATTACACCACGTCGAAATGCCCAATCTAATTTCTATATGTATGATGATTTTTAAGTATTGCTTAGATGTGGCTGAAGGCCGAAAGTATAGGGCGCCGAGCAATGATCGAACTCACAACTCAGTCGTAAATGATCTAGTGAATTAACAATTATTTTACGCATATAAACTTTTAGTCTCGTATATTTCCCAGGCGTTGCTAACATAACATTGCACATGTTATGCAATATTAGACACCGGGTGTTAATAAAATTGTACTATTGTCTCTTTCTCCGTTGATCCACAAAGCTGTATGCATGTGTTGTGTATAAAAGTCTCTATGGTAACAATGTAGGCTCTAGTGAGAGTCATAAAGTTATATATCTAAAATCTGTTATAAACATGTGAAGCATTTTGGCAATTAAAATATTCGCAAACTTCTCGTACTATTAATAACTGTATACTTTACGATGGCCTGTCTGTCTACGAAATTTGCAGTGAGATCTTTTTCTTGGATGTAAATATCGGTTCGTAGCTTTATATCTGAAATTTTCCGCTTGTCAACCATATTAAAGCAGGAATTTTATATAGCTATTTACTTAAATTAACTCATAGTTTGGTACAAGGCTACAAATTAAGAGTACTCAGTAAAGAAAGAACGCTCTCATTACAGTCATAATGATCAAGTAAAACTAGTTCATTAAACTTTAACCTAAGTGAGACAACCGTAGAAATATATAGATACTTTGATTTGTAGACTAGTAAGTAATTTCATGAAACAATGTGAACCCTTTTTACCATTCTGATATCTTTTATATACTGTTTTTGTTCAAGAAGTGAGTTATAATGGCTCTCAAGATCTTCCTTTCCTTTGTAGCTCTTAGTAATTTGTTTTCTTATATCTGTCACTATCTATTCTGCCGTCTATGTATGTGTGTGTGTGCATATATATATATATATATATATAAAATATATATATATATATATATATATATGTTAAGTAGATTCCTCGCTGTTCCCTGCTACTCCACTTATCTACCATATGTACTTTGAGTATTAAATTCGCCAAGCCCCTTTCTTCATTTATTACTCTAGATGTTTCATTTTTTTCTGGTTCTAAGTATAAGTCTCCATTTTTTCATTTTCCTTATAATTTGCTCGTTACTCACCTGTTCTATTCATGGTATTCTTAGCATCCTTCTGTAGAACCACATTGCCTGATTAAATTAATGAAAACCAATTTCAACTATTATTAATTATGTGTTTCTATTTTATTCTATCAGGTCATCCCATAAGTTCTGTCCGAATTTTGAATAAAGAAAACAAATGACCAATCGTTTCATTTAATTACAGATTCAATCAACAATGTATCCATCTATTAACAAGCTTACTAATTCCATTACTGTAAAATTCTTTTGGCTTTGATTCGAAGAACTCACAAATGTCAGTTTTAACCTCTTCCTGTGTTACAAAAGCTGTTTCTTCTAAATGATTCTGTAAGCTACGAAACAAATGGTAGTCTGAAGGAGCAAGATCAGGAGAATAAGGTGGATGAAGAATTTTAAAATTAAAATTAAAGTTAAAATTCGGACAGAACTTATGGGATGACCTGATAATTCATACTTTAATCGTTTCACTACAAGCAAGGCGATGATGCCACTAAGACGCAGGGTGTTACAAGGACTGAAAATGAAAGGGAATGAGAAGACTGAAAACGGGGAGGATTGAGGAAAGGACCAAAAGAAAACGGAAGATGGCATTTGATGTGGCACTTAAATTTTTCAAGATTGTAGTTATCAGGTAAGCAAGGTATCGGAAGGGAGTTCCACAAGTGGGATGTGCGAGAAAAAAACATTTAGAGTAGTTAGTGACAGTTGCATTAGTTTACTGTGAGAGTGATTGTACAGTATAAATCTTTTTCAAGTTAATACCAGAGCTGTTGGCTAACAATATGCTCCCATTGTCTTAAGAATACTGTGTATCAAATAAATAATTGTGATGGAGCAATGGATAGCGGTTCGGATTGGAGAATCAGAGAGCTGAGTTCGAATTCCAGTCGAAACCATTACGTCCACTTACGTGCTAATACCCTTCTTCTCCCTCCCCAGCTATAGGTAAATAACAGGACAGAGTGTGTTCTATAGCTTTGGATGACAACTGGTCTACCGCAGAAAGAAATGGCAACCTACTGCGGGAAAAAAATCTGCCTCGGTAGTCATGTATCGAAAGAAACATGATCGCCTCAGCGTGTATCACGCATGGCACACAACTGGCTGAAGAAACCTGTGGCTACGTAATTCCTTCTTGTTCATTTCTCTGTATTTTCCAGAACTCTCCTTTATTAAATCCTTGTCATATGCTTGTCACCAAGTAATTATTCCAACAATGACTAACGGCATTTTCATCCTAAGTGCTACTTCCAGTTGTATTACGTGCGGTTATATTATGCTGACTACGGGGTTGATGGAATAGCCCGGATGTTCTGCATCAGCAGTTGATGGAATATGGAATAGCCCGGATGTGCTGCCTCCGAGGTTAATGTAATAGCCCAGATATGCTGCGTGCGGTGTTGATAGAACAACAACCTGGATGTATCGCCTCCGTGGTTGATGGAATAGCCCGGATGTGTAGCCTACGGATTAGCGTGTTTGCCTTCGAACGCCTATAAAGTCTGTGGCAATGAACAATGTTGCAGGAAGAAAGCCAACAGTGGAAAGTGTGCATTTACGGCTGTTTGGACACGTATTGCTCTGAGTTTGTGACAAGTTTCTCTATATTCCTCAAGCGCTATTTCTTCATTATTTGTCGCTTTCTGGTTCTACGTATATCCTTCTTTGTTTCTGTCAACCATAAAGCGGCCTTCTAGCTCACGTTTAGTCCATGCTATTCTCAGCATCCTTCTATAGAACCACATATCTATTGCCTCAAACCTCTGCTTCATCTGGGATTAAATTGTCCAGTATTCGCTGCCATAAAGGAAGATTGATGTTACATAGCAGCTCAGATCTCTTATCTCTGTTTCTCTAGCCTCGTCGCTTCTTCATCTATGAGGAACTTGTCCAGTATTCACTGTGATATATATATATATATATATATATATATATATATATATGAGGTTTGATATTACTACGCAGTTGTGAACTCTTTTCATTGTTTCCAATGAGTCTAATTGTAATTACAAATATCTTTGTTTTCTATTTTCCCTTAAAACTGCTGTTTACGATCATATATGAAAATGTCGGAAAAGTTTAAGTGGAATATATTTTCCATTGGAGAAAAGATATAAATTCCCAATTATCTGAACAATATGGCAAGAAAGAATATATTATACGTCATTAAGACTTCAAATCGTTGCCGCTATGCCCTCCAGGGAGACCTCATACAGATAGTTTGTTAAATAAATACAAAGAGAAATATGCAGAAATATTAATCGGCATCTGACTTGGTATTTTATGACCTAAACATGTATAATTCAGTTCGTCCAACTTTTATTTTCTTCCATTTAAGTTGACTTTCTTTTTTGTAAATATTTAACCTAGTTAATGCCAAATAAATTTAACAAGTATTTAACATCGCCAGGCATCGATTTGCTCAGCTGACATTAATTTAGTCGACTGTTATCACGTTTAAGCTGCAAATTCTTTCCAATGCTGTCGGGTAAGGCGTTCTCTGTGTTGTTTCGTTCTGTTTCCCCGGAAAATGGATGCTTTGTTTTGGGGATCGTTACATATTGTGTCATCTGAAATAATATTTTTTTTTTCCGTGATCACGTGTCTGGATTGGATCAAGTTAATGGTGGACGGATGTTTCTATATTAACACACGGGTATACAACAAAGAATCGCTCACAGAAACAAGACTAACTTTTCTTTTCGATAAAGTACTTCCAAAAGAATGCGAAAAATAAATATATGTGAATCACCTCAGAAGTTGTCAAAATAGTCTTTGCACTCAGTATCAATCCGAGAAGTCAGATACATCAGCGAGTTGAACTCGGAAATAACATCTCACGCTTTCCTCCCGGTCCGAATGCCGAGAAACAAAACCTGTGGAAATTTACTCAGAAGATATCAAAGAGCTGCCTGATAAATGACAATAAATGTCTACAAATAATGGTGAATTGAATAAAAGTAATTGTACATTATATTTGAAGAATAAAATCGGCAAAAAGCTGGAGATTATTTACACCTCGACCAAATAGATGGTTATTGTTGATTGACTGATTCGTTTTTACGGCATATCGACTTATTTAAAGCCAGAAAATAGTTTTAGATTGTAAAATGCTTTAGAATTAATAATAATTTAGTGATATAAGTCTTACTAATTAACCTATAGCTGAACTCTGTGGAAGAAAGGTGATGTTGTGTCTGTGGTGGGTCGTCATTTAGAGTTCTTAAAACACAATGAAACATGCAAACGTGTCCAAAGAACTTTGGTCGTCATGCCACATGCATTCATCAATAGGAAACATGATGGAGGAAACTTTCTCTGACTAAAAACTAGATTCAAATGTTATCAAAGACTTTTTTCACATCATATTACTCAAAAGGTATCAAGGAGCTGCCCTATAAGTGGCCAATAGTCATTACAAATAAAGCTGAATATATAACTGAATAAATGTAATTTTACTTTATTTTTCAAAGAATAAGTCGATAAAAAAACAGAAATTATTTATAACTCAGAGATTTTTTATATATATATATATATATATATATATATATATATATATATATATATATACAGGGTGACCCCCAAAAAACGGTAATTTTTGAAGTGCGTATTGCCAGACATGAGCAAGTGGCAACACTACGAGACAGTGACCTTGAGCAAGTAAACATTTCGCCATTTAGAATTCAAGATGAAATTCACAGTATCCCAGCTGAGATGTTGCAGCAGTCAATGCGGAATCTCAACAGCAGATTTCAAAAATGCATTCGTACAGGAGGACGCCATCTACAGGACATAATTTTAAAAAATGAAAATTCCATCATTGTTTCTTAAATGGCATATTTTAAGGTTTCAATTACTATGAATAAAATATTTTTCTTCCATCACTCTTGGTTTTATTAGATTGTTAAAAATTTCCCATTTTTCTGGGTCACCCTGTATATATATATATATATATATATATATATATATATATATATATATATATATATATATATATATATAACTCAGACTAATAAATAAATCACAACAACTCCAGGGTGTAACAGAAACACTTTCCATATTTTAAATACTGACAAAAAGACCAAGATTACTGCTATTAAATAATTATTTCACTGTTGTTTTCTTAATAGACGTTACCTATTTTCGGAGGGAAAAAAAGAGAATGAAAAGGTTTTGCTGTTTCTTTTTCAACAGTGAAATAATTATTTAATAGCAATTACCTTGGTCTTTTTGCCAACTTTTTAAAATGTGGGAGGTATTTCTGCGGTACCCTGTATATAAATACTAACTAAACTTTATAAATCTAGAACTATATGAATTCTAAGGCACATATAATATATATTATATACATATAATATACAAGGCAACAAAAAAGTCCTTGCCGTTTTTCATTTATTAGAAAAAAGTTATACACCAAATTTGACATATCGTTACTCCTCAACGTAATCCCGATCATCATCCAGTACGTTTTGCCAACGTCCCGCCAGCTGCGCAATGCCCTGACAGTAAAAATCAGGAGTCTTGGGAGCAAAGAAGGCTTGTCGCACTCCTGTGAAAGATTTCCCCGGAAGGTGGTAATCTGTTGGCGTAAGGTCTGGAGAGTAAGGTGGATGGCACAGTATCTCTCGGCCAAGTCGCCATATGGTATCTCTGGTCACCCGCTCCTTCTGCTTCAGAGGCCGTTGCACATATTCCAACCGCTGCAAATTGGTAGCAGTTCATAGTGCATCACTAGTCGACTAGTCCAACAGATACAGAGCATGATCTTGCGTGGATGTATTGGTGGCCTTGGCAAAGAATTCCATGGTGACAACCAATGTCTTGCACATTTGGGAGTGTCATAGAGAACCCATTTTTTTTATCCCTGGTAAGCATTGGATCAAATATAGGTACGTTGCAGTGCCGGGAAAGCGACGAGAAACCTGCTGTGACTCGTTGTTTGCTGGTTCCCCATAGTGTGTGGCGTACCCACTTGCTCAACTTGTACTATGCTATGCGGTGCAGGTGAAGTTTGACTGTTTCATCAGAAACCTGGAAGCGTTCGGCAAATTCATAACAGGTTTGGCTGTTGTCCTCCTCTATGGCCGCATTCACAGCCTCATCATCTAGGACCTAAAGCAAACAACCCAGAACGAGCTGCTTTGACACCGCCATGTTTCCTATCTGCTGTTTGAGAGAGTTTTGTATTTTTTCTCTGTTTCATATAACAAACGTTCTAACCCTTCAAGAAGACGTCAAAATTTTGAATACTGATTTTCAAGGCAAACAAGCAAGAATTTCTGTCAGACCGTAGCGTAGGCACACATATCTTTCAGTACTTGTAAAAGATCTCTCATTATATCACTCCTATTTGACCGGATTTCTCTCCTCTCTTTCTCCATCTTCCTCTCTCTTTCTTCATCCTCCTCTCTCTTTCTCCATCCTCCTCTCTCTTTCTCCATCTCCCTCTCGCTTTCTCCATCCCTCTCTCTTTCTCCATCCCTCTCTCTTTCTCCATCCCTCTCTCTTTCTCCATCCCGCTCTCTCCCTTCCCCTCTCTCTATTCCTTTCCCTCTCTCTATTCCTTTCCCTCTCTATTCCTTCTCTCTCTATTCCTTCTCTCTCTCTATTCCATCCCTCTCTCTTTCTCCATCCCGCTATCTTTCTCCCCCCTCTCTCTTCCTTCCCCTCTCTATTCTTTTCCCTCTCTCTCTATTCCTTTCCCTCTCTATTCCTTTTCTCTCTATTCCTTCTTTCTCTCTATTCCATCCCTCTCTCTTTCTCCATCCCTCTCTCTTTCTCCATCTCTCTCTGTCTCTATTCCTTCTCTCCCTCTATTCCTTCTCTCTCTCTATTCCTTCTCTCTCTCTATTCCATTCCTCTCTCTATTCCATCCCTCTCTCTATCCCTTTCACTTTTCACTCTCCCACTCTCTCTTCTTATCTCCCATTCTCTCCTTTACCGTCACTCTTTGCAAGATTTTCTGGACATCTGCCTTCCTTTCTCAAATTATTTGCGTTTATATGCTGATATGCCAATCTCTGTCGACCGTTTTTTTCTATTTTAGCGGCTGTTTTCTTTTCATCTGGTAAAATAAATAATTCTCGCTACTTTATATCTGCCTCTCCTTTCGATATTCCACCATTTCTACCTGTCTAACTTTCTACCTTCGCACCAGCGTCCTCCTTCATCTCGCCGTTTCTTCTTTATCTGCATTTTACTCAATTTTAATTATCTTTTTTAACATAGGTTTTCCCACCAACTTGCTTTCTCTGATGTCATGCCTTTCTCTCATTGAACATAAAAATACTTCCATAAATTAAAATAGTCTAAAACAATAAAAAAAAACAAAAAAACCCCCAAAAAACAAAAACAAAAAAATGATAATGACAGACAGGTTATGCAGGGTGCGATGGATAAATTGTCGCCTAAATTACGCAAAAATGAAAATAACGTTGACATCTCATTTTAGCAGATACATTCACCAAAATTACACCAAAATATCTTGAAATACTAAAGAGTAGATTTATTCAATAAAATTGCCATTTTCTCTCAGTTCACAGTCTCCAGAGGACTTTAGAATCTCCTGCATCTGTTGGCGATCTTCTTGTTTAAGTTGGTGAATGCTGTCATAATCCTTGCCTTCAGGTCAAATTTGGTGTTACAAGGAGTTTTGTTGATTTCTCGCTTAACTGCGCCCCACACATAATAATCAAGGGGGTTGCAGTCTGGGGAGTTAGAAGGCCAGATGTAAGTGGTGATATGGTCGCAAAAATTGTCTGACAGCTATGACTGTATTCTCCTGCTTATGTGACATGGTGCAGAATCCTGTTGTCAGATATAGGTTCTTCCAGCAATCACCCTTTTGACTCAGTGTAGCTCTATCTCTTTAAGGCACTTGATGTAGGCCTGCCTGTTGAGTCTAGGGGCTACACCAACAAATTCCGGCATTCTCTTATTATCAGAACGATCGAAGTGAGTTTTCCGAGCTGACGTACCTTCGTATTCGCCATTAGACTCATCCGAACCTTTTAGAATTCTCTACACTGTCCTCAGATTTACACCCAAAGACTCTGAAATGTTCGTATTGGAGCTTCCAGCAAGAATGCCAAGCAATACAGCATGCCGTTTCCAAATTTGTGGCGGAGTGAATTGCGTTATGGTGCTCTTATTCTCACAGACGCTGCCCATCTGACTCTACTATACAATGCAGTCGATAAAATCAAAAACAAACAATACGCATGTGCGAAATTAAAAATATAAAATAGTGATAATTTACCAGTTGCACCCTGTATATTTAATACATCAAAACGACAAGCATCAATTCTTGTGAACACTATTTCAGCCCAGGTACACATTTGTACCAAATAAAATTACTATCTGAAATGGTCCCGCCGCTGGCAATGTTTCAACTGCAGTTAAAATGGATGTATTTAAAAAATATATGGCAAGGAATGGAGAGAAGAAATAAAACGAAAAAGTAATTTGGCTCAAAGATGATTTCCGTTTTTGTTTAACTTTATTCTACAAAATATAAAATGCATTGACATTTTATTTCATATCAGACAGCCCCTCGATATCTTTCCAGTAAAATTACAACAGTTTTGAATAGAAAACGCTTTCGAAAAAAAACTACTGAATCTTTTGAATTTCACAAGCAAAAGGAAACAACAGGATGAGGTACTACAGAAAAGCAGTAGAAAGAACTAAGCATTATTAAGACAATAGTGTTTTCAGCAAGACAAAAAGACCAAGACGCGAGCTACGAATTGGAGATGTCAAAATGAAACATGTACAGGAGTTTAAATATCTGGAAATATCTTAAGAGTTGATGGAAAATGTGACACTGAAAGCTGAATCTGCATATTGTAATAGGAAAGCTATCTTACAAGAACCAAACAAAATATTAAAAGGAGGAAAAATTCACCAGCAACAAAGTGTTGTACTGTTGTGTAATATCACTCCTTCTATATAACTATGAATGCTGGAACATTTCCTTACAGATGAAGAGAAGAAGCATACAACATTGTTGCTTATATGCTTCGACTATGGATACCATAGTCGAAGCAAATAAGTAACAATGAAGATTTGAGGCAAATGGAAACAAAAGACCGATTATACGTAGAAGCAGGGGTCACCTCGAGGCGGTCTTATGGTTAGCAAGCTTGTCTTGCTAGAACAATTACAACTGAATAGTGAGTTCGATCCTCACTTGGTGCCCTCAATTTCAGCTTTGTATCACATCTGAGATACGTTTGGAAAATCACTATACGTAGAATCAGGAAAAGAGAGTTGGCATTCCTAAGATACACAAGAAAAGAAGGCCTAGAAAATTTCTTGGAGCATAGTGAAAGCTAGAAGCACATAGGAAAACATCGAGTTACCTATCTAATGAGCTTGTGTAAATGGATGATGGAACAGGGAGGGGGGAGATATAATAAAACGACAAACATTGCTAAGAGCTACGAAGGAGAGGACGTCGTGAAGAGCTCTGATCACTTCCTTTCTGAAGGAAAACGGCACTTAGAAGAAATAATTTGCAATATTTGGTAAATATCGGACGGCTGGAAATTTTGCAGTCAAATTGTAGTGACTTTTAACTTGCGATTAAAAAAACAGTCAGTCTAATATTTTCTTGATAGAATATTATACACTGTTTATTAAATAATTTTGGACGTTTTTCATCCACTGCTGGTAGCAGGAGTCGTTCGAACGAATTACTTACATCACTGGATAAACCTTTTAGAAAGAGATTCCTTTCAGAACCGATTAGAGACAAAAATCAAAGAAAGAAATTGTCTAACATTACCTTATTGGAATATTATGTATTTTTATAAAACTAGCCAAACACCCGTCCTAAAGACAGACAAATGTAAGTTCTTATAGAAGTCGTCTTATCGCTATAAAATTTATCTGCAAACAACATTTTCTGCAAGACATCTATTTTCTAAAATTATTTTTATCGTTAGGCTAAGTCCGCTTGAATTTCCTACTCTAAATATAATAATGGTAATATTAGCTGTTTCTTTATAATGGAATATTTTTTTCATTTATTGATTGAGTACGGTGGAGCAATGGATAGCGGCGCGGACTGAGAAATCGGAGAGTCGAGTTCGAAATTCCACTCAAATACATTACGTTTACTTACGAATTAATAACCTTGAGAAAGGTATAAATCCTCTTCTTCTCCCCCCAGCTATAGGTAAATAGCAGGACAGACTGTGTTCTACAGTCTTGGATGACAACTGGTCTACCGCAGCAACCTACTGCAGGAAATGGCAACCTACTGCGGGAAAGAAATCTGCCTTGTCAGTCATGTATCGAAAAATACATGATTGCCTAAGCATGTATCACGCATGGCACATAACTAACTGAGCTTAGGCTACTGTTGGCTGTAATTTAGAAATTTTTTTCTCTTAAAACAATTTTCCGTGCTTAGTATATCTTTCTGCAACGTTCTTGTTGAGCCATTCATATTTTGCCTGCTTGCATTTCTTTCTAATACCTTTGCTTAACATTCTATATCAAGGGACATTTCTTGGCACATGATGCTGTTTCTTTTTATTATTTTGGAAATTTCATCCACTTCTTTCTTTTTCTTCCCTTCGTATGACCTCTTTTGCTGATGTTGCCAGTGCTGTCCTTGAAGTTTTTGCATATATTAGCAAATACCTATTTTACAGTTCTCGTAGAACTTCTCTTACGTCTATAAAAATTCTCTATAAACAACATTTTTAGCATGACATGTATGTTCTAAAGTTTCCTACTCTGAACATAGCTACATAGTACTGGGGCACCACGACGTGATGTAATGGTTAGCTTTTCTTGCTACAAAAATTACGACTGAGTTGTGAGTTAGATCATCACTGGGTGCTCCATACTTTCGGCCTTGTGCTACATCCAAGCTACGCTTAGTAAATCACCACAGCTGAGAACGAGACAATATCTGAATAATTCTTTAATACTTGTAGCATTATTAGTAATTATAATAGATTTAATAATTTTTCACTTGCTTTATTAAAACCGTACACTTTTAAGAAAATCTAATTAAACAGATTTATTTTTTACTTATTTAGATAATTATGTAATCGACTAATTTGTAGTATGCGAAATAGCAGATGATAACAATGATTACTATGAACGCTGCAGGTAATAAGATCGTAACTAATGTTTCTAGGGTAAAAGTATTGAATTTTATTAAAATTTAATTATATTTTATCGTTATTTACTTTACCCACTTCTGAAAAAATATTTTTAGAAGCCTCTATTATATTTATTTTACATTTTATTTGAGTGTAAACACATTGACATTTTTCTAAGACACGACTTAATTTTGATAGGGCAGATATCAATGCTTTCTATACAACGATGAATGAAAAAGAAGTTTGTTGTCATTGATTATATATATAAAAATTTTAATTTAAAAGTTAACACGTATAAAATATATATTGAAATATGTTTTTAAACTGTAATACAAATTAAATGTTACCACTTATGCTGTAAACGCAATTTAGTAGCAGTATATATATATATATATATATATATATATATATATATATATATATATATATATGAACAAACATTTCCTAGTAAACACATGACAATTTTGTTTTTCTCATGGTGGGGTAACAAAAATGTTTAGCGCGACGCAAATTTTTAAAATAGAATAATTTCGGATGTTTTGTATCAACTGTTGCCTTCATTTGTTCGAAGTCATTGTGCAAATGAATTGTTTTCATCCTTTGAAGGAACTCATCTGCCAGTAAATACGCAAAATTACGTTCTTTGGATTAACATCGGCTTTTGGTATTGTTGGTAAATTTTTATTTTGCTTGACCCATGGTCTTTTACTTTCCAGATTGCGCTAAGGATAACTTTATCCAACACCACAAAATGTTAGAAAAACAAAATATTAGCCCGATTCATGTCCTTAAATAGTCTTGATCTAACGAGTCTATCATATGCGTGTTCAGATAGTTTAGAAATGCCTACGCTGTCAGCTATAGTCAAACGTTTTTTTCAGATAAATGGTTAAAAATGGCTTCAAAAGAATGAATCCTCGAAGGC